GTGATGCGGGCCGATTACCATAATGGCCCAATCCCGAATGGTCGTGTTTGTGGGACCATATGCAACTTGCTTTAAGATTTGCAAACCTGAAATAAATACCTCAAACGAACCACGGAACGGTGTATTAGCATTGCGTTTCTCGGGATAAAAGACTAACAGTACAACTTACCCAAAGTGAAGTAGGGCGGCTCAAAATGGATACATTTGATGGAATGTACACACGGTGCTTGCTGACGCCGATCTTCCTCGGCTTCCAAACCCCGGTTTGGTGTAGGCACACCCGAACTCTGTGCACCCAATGATCGATACCGTTCCCATGGCGGAAGTAAATGGTCACGTTCATGCAACTCACCATAGGCCTTCCGCGGAGTCAATGCACGTAAATCCTGACCTGGAACACGACCAGATAAGGCCAAATAGGCAGTCTGAGTATTTGGTCGTAGTCCGGCTTGCAACAACGCCTCGGAGCGGCACTGGGCCTGTAGACCAGCTAGAACGCGATCCAATTTCGGACGGGTTACATGACCTACATTGTAGAAAAAAGTCATGATTATACAGTGATTATCTTGACATCGGCAGACAGGGGAATTTGGTTTCAGCTTGTACAAGCATTACCCTGCACTTTTGTGCATCGGTTTTGGTTGCCGTCTTTGGCTGCCCATTGGGATGAACAGTAAGATAAAGATAAGAAAGTCGAAAGTAGGGTCAAAGCGAAAATTTAGAATTTCAGTGGGCTGATGTTACAAAGAAATTGAGAAGATTGTGAATGTTATAGTGTTAATAACACAGCAATGTCGGTAGAGAATTAAATTCGCCGACTTTTCGGTTACCGTGGGTAGCCTTTCTCAAGGCAGGTTTTACAATCNTATTGGAACGGAACCTTATACCAATACCAATGGTATCAAACAAGCCAGCATGACATCACAGTCGTTTTTCACTCGGATCAAACAAAACGTTGGTTATCACTTCGTGGCATCAAAACGAGTGGTGTGGCCTGCGTGCAGCTCAGATTAGAAACCAACAGAAGACATCGAGATAATTCCTACGCGACAGGTGCAGGAACACACCAGAGTTGATACATGAATTATAGGCATTGTGCACTGGGGGAGTGGAATGATATAAACACGGACGTGATTCAAAATCTTGCACTGTGGTTAAAATCCATCGGGAGGATGCAATACAGTTGCCGCGGGGAAAATTCGTCTTTCATTCGATTTTCGTCTATATTCTCAAACACGATGATAATCGTGCATGTGGGAGCAGAGAAAAACAAGAAATCTATGGGGTTGCAATACTTTTTAGCAGGGGGTACTAGGACCATAAGACTGAGCCCATCTCTGAGTTAACCAATCCCCACCCCTTAGGTAGCCACTACGAGTGATATTCGTCGAGGCAGGTAGTGGGTGGAATAAATCCAAGGGTAGTCAAGCTAAGACCTCGCAAAAGGGTATAAAAAAACCTAACCAAGAGTCTGGGTCACATAGGTCCTGTTAGGCTCCATGGGGACCTCCGGATCAGCGAAATCAATGGTTAGAAACACTGAGTGATATGGCTGGGTGTCGCAAACAGTGGCGCTCATGCATCTACTCATTATTCTTGTAAAACCGGTCTATGTAAATGCGTTATCTTCCGTTTGAATTTGCTCTCAACATTCTAATCTTCAAGTGAGTTATGGAGGATTTGATTCAATTTCAAAGGTGAATTCGTCGTATACATGGTAAATGAGGTGTGAACTGAAAATCTAGGAAGCACTGGACAGCCGTTTCAACCTGGTTGGGTTTCATCAGCAGTTCAGGCTTCATTTGCCATATACAAGACGAATTCACCTTTGAAATTCTAAGCTTCATTCTGCCTCTTTATCCAAATGGGCAACCAAAACGGGCACACGAAAGTGCATGGTTATTGGTTGTAAGAAGTGAACTGAACTGAACCCTTAGCTGACGATTTACTGCTATCCTTGTAAATCCCGGTATTTCGATTGCCGAACTCTTCATGAAAATTACTGCTTGACGCTGTGCGCCCCACTTGTATTGTTGGAACCAGACTGACCGCAATCTGAGGCACGCTATTTTGCTTATACATTAATCGCTCATATAGCAGATTACAAACTTCGAGTTACGAGCCTGAAGTTCTTATCCGCGCGTCAAACAGCTACTGAACACTGATCCGATATAGTAACTTTCATAGCGAAAAAGAAATCTGGGCGTGAAAAATATGTAGTAAGAACTTTCCCCCTTATCATTGAATATACAACTGGACAAGGAACCTTTGAGAAGGAAGTAAGAGTCAGAGGGGTGACATGTAATATAAAAGAAAGCGAAAATTTAGGCGGCAGTTGTGGAGATATCTATTCCTTTGAAAACCTCAGTTTCACGTGATTGCGACTTAACCACTGCGCCACCAGAAAGAGAGTGAGAGTGATACATCTTGGTAGATCCAGTAAGTATCCATATAATATCAAAGTGACAGGTAAACAAGATAATCAGTCTGTCACAAAACCAAACTACTCACGCCATGAAGATCGCAATAAGGTTGCTCCCATTGGCGTGCCATCCACCGAAGCACGACCGAGCAGTCCAGTCAAATGATAGGTTTTCAACCAAGAGAACTGTTCAAAATTTGTGGCCATTTGAAGCACGCCATCTTCGCCAATGCCAAAAACTACAAAACACGAGTGGGTCGTAAGTTACGCTATGCAGAAAATTACCCTGAACACCAGACGCCATATCAGCCAACGGATCTACAGCGTAAATCATGAAATCCGAAGGATAAAATGTTCGACCGACCACTGAAGGATGTTCACTTGAATCGAATGGCAGAAGCGAAACACATACCGAATTTCGAATGAGTAATATCCGGGACCGTTACTACAGTCATTGATTTGGAACTCTCTGAAATTGGTTGTAACACAGTGCGCAAAACACCGGACTCCTCGGGGAAGGCGTTATAATCTAACCGAGAGTTAAGCACGCCTAAACGAAACGAACCTTCGGAAAGTGTACGTTTCATTAAGGAAATAAGTTTTCCGGTGTTGGTGTTGGGAGGTTTGTAGAATGCAGCTAACCCGTTTAGCAGTCGGAAGAGCACAAAACGAGGAGCCAGTGACATCGTTCTATATGGAATGTAAAGTGGATATCACGTTCAGATGCACCGAGAAGAAAACAGCGAGTAAAACAGGCAAACGACATGCAACTGTGAGAACAAGAGAAAATCAAACAGTGATCAACAGGACTAGGAGGAGGATTGTTCTTTTTGCCAACAGCTCAATGGTTTCAAACAGCTACATAGAGTAAAATATACTGCCAGTCAATGCTCATGTTCTCTGACTCGTGTTAGGCACCACGGCTTACAGCAAGTGGTCACATCAATTAGGGCTTTTGACCAGTTTCAGTTTACACAACCATTGACCATGCACTATAGTGCGCCGGTTTTGGTTGCTATCTTACGGCTGGATGAACATTAGGAGAAAGACAGGAAAGGTTGAAAGTAGGATCGAAGAGAAAACTGAAAAGTTCATTGGACTAATGATACAGAGAAACTGAGAAAATGCAATGAAGGCCACTGTTTACGACACCCAACCATAGCATTCAGTGTCTCTAACCATCGGGTACGAC